TTTTATTTTATTTTTTAATGACAGCATCCCACGTAGCTCAAACTGGTCTTGAAAGCACTAGGTAGCCAAGAATGGCTTTGCACTCGTAATTCTTTCTACCCTGGATTACAGCCGTGCACCACCACACACAGTTTCTGGGGTGCTGGGGTCCAAACCCAGGGCTTTGTGCGAGGCAGGCGCTCTCCCAGCTGGTGGATGTGCAGTATGCTAATTAGAGGGGAGGAGAGTTCGGGACCGTCTGAAGGGATGATGGGAAGTAGAGAGGTGTCAGAAGATTCTGACATAGGAGCCAGGGAGAGCCAGGCTCTGTTGTACAGTCACTCTGCTTTGATACCCTCCCTCCCGCTCTCTGTATTTATCCTGTCCTTTCACTATATAGACAAGGACAGATGCCAGCGCTTTCTCAGGTCCCTGACATCTCACTTCCTAGGCAGAGAGCTGAAGTGAACTCCAGGGACAAGTCAGGACCGGAATGACTGCAGTGTGACTCCCTGGGGAGTCTGTTTGTGTTTGCCCCCGATGGAGAAGGCCCAAGAAAACCAAGAACACCACTCAGGGAACTTACTGAAATTACAGGAGCATGGCTGAGGGTTCACTTAAATAGCGAGGCTGATGGCTGGCAAGAGACGCATCCCTGGAGTCCTCTCTCAAGTCTCTTACCTGCTGCCTACTCTAGCTGCCAGTGTGGGTGGGGCAGGAGGGAGAGGGTTGCTGGGCTCCTGGGCATCCAGTGTGCCTCCCGTCTACTGACAAGGGAATTGTTTCTTGTGAGGGTCTCCTGCAGGTCACCACAGCTTCTCTGATTCCCAGACATTGACAGGCACATCGTGCCCTGAAGGCAGAGTTCCAAATGGTGTCATGCACTGTCCTTGTCGTTTGGGTCCTAGTGTGAGAGCCTGCTGCTGGATTGTGATGTGGGAGGAAGTGTAAGCAGAATAAACTTCCCTCCCCCATAGGGTGTGTAAAGCCTTTGTGTCTGCCTTTGAGTGAAATGTTTCAGCAAAGCCTTTGCTATGTTTGGGTCAGACAGTAGAGGCTGAGAAATTGTTTTGAGACTGAACCTTGAAGAGCTGTCTCCTTGGAAAGACTGCACTTGGTACTAAGAGAGCTTGCAGCTGCACAAACCTTGGTCCTAAGACACTCCTGCCAAACCTGGAGTTCTTACTTTTGATTATGGCTAGCCATGGTGAAAAGGGACTGAGATTTGTGGGGGCTGTCTGCTCTCAAGAGCAGCAGGGGGGAGATAACTGTGGTAGCTGAGATCTTTCCCAGCTCCAGTTAACCTTGTATGCTGTTTGAATAAAGTAACTGGGGTGAGGTAGCTAGCTGGGTGTCAGTCTTCCCCAAGGAGGCTGCTCCTTTAGGAAATGAAGCTTGGTATCTCGGTGAGCCTCCCTCTCCTCTCCTCTCCTCTCCTCTCCTCTCCTCTCCTCTCCTCTCCTCTCCTCTCCTCTCCTCTCCTCTCCTCTCCTTATCCCTCCCCCTTTCCCTTTCTTCCTTCCATTCTTCCTTCCCTTGAATGACTTGGAACTCAACTGTGCAGATCAGGTTGTCCTCAAACTCACATGGGTTCTCCTGCCCCTACCTCCCGAGTGCTGGGCTCGCAGGCCATTTTAGCATCTTTTGTAAGACAAAGACACACATCTTTATGCTTTCCCAGGAATACCCTAGGAAAACCAAAGCGTGCTCTCGGTCTCTCTTTTCATATATACAAATATATAATAAATATATGATATATGTAACCTGTAATACATAATATATAATATGTAATCTATAATACATAATGTGTGATATTAATATACAACGCATATATACTATCTATTATAATCTGGTTCATTTCACTGAATTTGGGGAGGAAAGAGCCTTCAGGGATTGTGACGGGCCTGCCCTAACAGAGGTTGCTTTTATGACCTCATAAATCAGAGTGACAGCAAGGTGAGACCGTCCAGGGAGCCCAGGCCCTTTCACTGAGCGCCTGAGGTCGTCCCGAGCACACCGGGCACCATGGGCGCCTCACATTCGTCTAAGGAGGAGTGGGAGCGCGAGAGCAGGACCGACTTATGGTGGGCGCAGATCCAGGAGGTGTTCGCGAACAAATGCGAGTTCAGCTGGGACCAGGTCAAGCAGCTGTACCAGAGGTTCCGGCTGCTGAGCGGAGACCAGCCCACCCTCCAGCCACACAGCTTCGACCAGGTCCTGGACTTAGAGTTCAACCCGATCCGCTCCAGGATCGTCCGCGCCTTCTTCGACAACCGGAACCTGGGCAAAGGGACCGGCGGGATGGCGGAGGAGATCACCTTCCAGGACTTCCTGACCATCATCGCCTACTTCCAGCCGCTGAGTCCCCGACTCAACAAGGAGAAGGCGGAGCAGTACCACAAAGAGAAGATGCGTTTCCTCTTCAACATGTATGACCAGGACGGAGACGGAATCATCACCCTGCAGGAGTACCGCCGGGTGGTGGAGGACCTGCTGTCGTTGAACCCACATGTGGAGACAGACACTGTGCGCGCCGTCGCCAACGCCATCGCGCGGGGCGCCTTGAAGGAAGCAGCCAGGGCGTCGGGCCATCCGCTGAAGGGGGAACATCTGTACGAGGGCATCACCCTCGAGGACTTCATCAAGACCTGGCACAGTCTCGAACTGGAGGTCAAGATGCAAGTCAGCTTCCTGAACCTGGAAGCCACGGCCTTATGCAAGTGACCTGCTGGCTGCCGCGCCCCCTCTGGAGAAGCTGCCCCTTGAATCCGGCAGACTCCTGCAGCAGCTAACGGGGTACGTGGGACGTGATGCCTTTTATCTCGGAGAATAAAGATGATCAAAAGAGAAGAACGGGACGTGGCTGTACTTACCTTGAACCCCAGCACTCGAGAGGCAGAGGCAGGCAGATCTCTGTGAGTTGAAGGTCAGCCTGGTCTACTGAATGAGTTCCTGGCAGGCCAGAGCTCACATAGTGAGACTCTGTGTCAAAAAATAAAATGAATAAAATGTAGAAGTACAAATGGCCAGTAAACATGAAAAAAAAAACATCTTAAGCATCCTTAGCCGTCAGGGGTTCTATCTCATGCTAGGCACAGTGGCTCTCAATAAAGCAAGTGCTGGATAGGATACAAGGGCGCGAAGGAAGGAAATATGTACACAAGATGACTGGTAGGAATGTAAACTTGTTCAGTATATAGTATGGAAGTCAGTATAGCGGTTTCTCGAAAGCCTAACACTAGAACCGTCATATGGCCCAGCTGTACCATTTCTGGGTATACAGCCAGAGTACCACGTAGACGCCAAACATCTGCACAGAGTGCAGCTTTACGCAGCATCGCCACCTTACAGAACGAGCCCAGGCTTCCCTCTGCAGATGAATGGATGAATAAAATGTGGCACACATGGGACCAATTTTATCCATCTGACTGAAGATGCTCATGATCACAGGACAAGCCAGACACTACTCATTTGTGGATCCAAGATGTTTCTATAGATACGTGACGTCCTAGGACGGGAAAGCGGGAGTGAGACTGGGGGGAGGAACAGGAAGGAAGGGGTGGTGTCACTGTGGTCAAAGTACAGGGCGCACGTGTTTGAAACTGCCTCTCGTGACTCATCACTGTGTGCAGTGGACATACCACAGTAAAGAGAGTACCGGGGGGAGCTGTGAGTATGCAGTTAGGCAGAATGTTCTCTCGATTGGCAAAAGAGCAGATTTAAGCAGTTAAGACTCTAGCTCTTTCCAAGTAAAAGTTTGTCAGACCTAGCTGTATCAGCTACTCTCCTCGTTGCTTGGACAATATACTTAACAGGGGCCCCTTTAGGGAGGAAAAGGTAAAGCTGGCTGTGACTTTAACTCAGGGTTAAGCTATTTTTCCTTAGTGGTGTCACTGTGGCCATGCATTTGAGTGTCATGTCGTAGCCTAAGATGACCTTGATAGCTGAGGGTCACCTTGCATTCTGGTTCCCACTTCCCAAGAGCTAGAGTTACAGGTGTGTGCCAACACATCCACTGTGGATGAGAGAGAAGCCACAAGGTCCCACCCCCAGGTGAAGAGCTACCAGCAGTCACTGGCTGTTGAGAGCAGGAGAATCAATGTTCTTCAGGGATGAGGTCCCCTTCTCTCCCGGCCCCCATAGGTTACCCAATTCCAGTCGGTCAGCCTTAGACTCAGATCCAGATATATGATCAACACCGGTGGGCTCTATTGTATTTATACACACATATAACAATAATACAGAAGACATCTTGGATTTGAGAGTTAAGGGGTGGAGGATGGGAGGAACTGGACCAGTCTTGCTCAGACAGCAAAGCTGTTGAGATGTCATGGATGCAACTTCCCTGTCACGGCTGGAGAGGTGGCTCAACAGTTAAGAGCACTGACTGCTCTTCCAGAGGTCCTGAGTTCAATTCCCAGAAACCACATGGTGGCCCAGAATCATCTGTAATGGGATCTGATTCCTCTTCTGGTGTGTCTGAAGACAGTTACAGTGTACTCATATAAATAAAATAAATAAATGCTTTAGCTGGGCAGTGGTGGCTCACGCCTTTAATCCTTTAATCCCGGCATTTGGGGGGCAGAGGCAGGTGGATTTCTGAGTTCGAGGCCAGCATGGTCTACAGAGTGAGTTCCAGGACAGCCAGGACTACACAGAGAAACCCTGTCTCGAAAAAAAACCAAAAAAAAAAAAAAAAAAAAAAACCACTTCCCTGTCACATCTAAAAGACAGTATCTTGTTGAAGCAGGTGTCCTTGTCTTCTGGTTCTCACAATCTTTCTGCCCTCTTTTCCGCCATGTTCCCTGAGCTTAGGTGTAGGGGTTGTGTTGTATTTGTGTCACTTGGAGATGGACGGTTGTGATCCTCTGTAGCCTGCGTTTTGACCAGTGGTGGATCGTTGTGATGGTCTATCTGCTGCAGCTTTTCCGGTAAGGGGCGAGAACGACACTTAACGGGCCAGGCTCGGATGCAGGCGCCAGCTTTGGTTTGTTTTTGAGATAGGGTCTCTTTATGTAGCATTAGTTTGCCTGTAACTCGACATGTAGAGCAGCCTGGCCTCAAACTCAGCAGAGGTCTACTTGCCTCTGCCTCTCAAGTATTGAGGTTAAAGGTGTGTACCACACATGGCCAGGCTCTTTTAAGGGTCCTTGAAAGAGCTACAGTACTTGGTACAAGGGAGTCTACTCTCTTTCTGTTATTAAAAAAAAAATCATTGTATCCTATTTTGTATTTATTAGTTAAAAATTTGCAATTATGAGAATTGAACCTAGACCTCCTGTATACTGGGCAAGTTCCCTGCCACATCCCCAACCCCTTTCAAATTAATGTGAGCGCTTGCTGGTCTCTGCAGACCTGTTGTTAGCACGTCTTTAAAAGCCTCCTGCAATAAATTTCTCTTTGTCAATGCAGTTGAGAAAACATTAAAAATTTAAAGTCTGCCAAATACCCCCTGGAGTTCTAAATTATCCCTAATGAAAGGCTGCTGCTTTGATGAATATGTATGAGTGAGGGAAAGAATAAATTTGCATACAAGAGCTTGAGTTCCCTCAGGGGCAAGTTGTTTCCTTCATTTCCGGCTTGCAGATGTGTTGTTGTTTATTTATTTAAATTTTGGGGACCGAGTCTCAAATATCCTAGGCTAGCCTCGAACTCACTGTGTGGCCTAGGATGATCTTCTGCCTCGTGGCTCAACCTCCTGAGTTCACAGGCATGCACTCACGGGCTTGATGCATGTGCTCAGAACCAGACTCACAGCTTTCTGCACGCAGGGCAAGCACTTTACTGGCTCAACCTCACCCCCAGTCTCCAGATCTTTGCTTCAGATCAGAGCACACACAGATGGGATTGCTTCCCTCAGTGGGAAGAATGCTTTATAACGAGAGCTGGAAAACATTGTTTCACTGACACTATCAGAGTCCTCTGAGCAGTACCAGACTCGCCAGGTTATGACCTTGCCGTGGACTGACTTGTAGAATGAAAAGCCGCGACATCTCATTGTATGGAGAAACACATTGGTTTCCTATGAAAAAGCCACTTTGGGCTCTGAAATCAGTCAACTAGAAAGTGCAGACTGTTTCTACCGACAACCAAGCAGACAATAGGTTAGATAGTCAAACATTAAACTGAAGTTAAGTTTAACATGTCCAGGAGGCTCTTGGCTAGAAGCAACTGGGGCTTCATGGGGGAAGGGCTTGCGAGCAAGGATGAGGACTAAGTTTGGATTCCCAGAGCCCATATAAAGCCATATATAGTACTGCACACTTATAATCACAGTGCTCCCCAGATCGTAGTGCTCCCCAGATCATAGTGCTCCCCAGATCGTGGTGCTCCCCAGATCACGGTGCTCCCCAGATCGTGGTGCTCCCCAGATCGTAGTGCTCCCCAGATCGTAGTGCTCCCCAGATCGTAGTGCTCCCCAGATCACGGTGCTCCCCAGATCACAGTGCTCCCCAGATCATGGTGCTTCCAGTACTGGCTGGGAGGCAGAGACAGAAGAATCCCTTGAAGCTCCAGGGCCTGCTAGCTTGCCTTAGCAGAGGCTAACAGCAAAGAGACCCTGCGCCAACATGATAGAAGGCAAGGACACTTGATACTGACCTCTGACCTCCACATGCATGTTGTGACATTCATAGACTTGAGGAAGCACACGAGAGCACACACACACACACACACACACGAGTGCACGGGCGTGCACACAAATGCACATACATGGGTGCTGCGACGTTATGTGCCTGTTCTCACAGACATGAAGGTGCACATCCACCACACCACATACAAAGATTTAAAAAAAGAAGACAAAAATTACATGTTGGAAAAAAACTTAGAAAACCTAGGTTAGAGACCCAGGGATCAGCCACAGTTGATGATGGACAGGCAGCTTCTGCAAACAATACTGATTTTTTGTCTTGCTCCGAGTGCTCTGTGTGTTGGCCAATTACCCATGGAGTGTTCATAGAACACTGATAACTCCCCTTTCAAGGCTGAAGACACTGGAATAGTATCTTTCTTTTTACATTTTCCAGGGACATTGTCATTGACAGATTACTGTCTGCCTGCTTTTATAGTCTCCTGTTTGAGATCTCTGAGTGTCCAGCTGTTTCCGGTCGCCTTTTTTTGTTTGTTTGTTTTTGTTTTTGTTTTTCGAGATAGGGTTTCTCTGAGTAGCCCTGGCTGTCCTGGAACTCACTCTGTAGACCAGGCTGGCCTCGAACTCAGAAATCCGCCTGCCTCTGCCTCCCAAGTGCTGGGATTAAAGGCGTGCGCCACCACTGCCCGGCTCCAGTCACCTTCTTAAACCTACCAAGAACATGGAGTCTTCTAGGCAGCCCTCCCATGGTGAGGTTGCCCCTGGAAAACAATCATCTTGTGGGAACCAAATCACCTCAAACAACAAGAACCCCCAGAGCCTTGCAGACCAGAACAGAAATAACAACCAGTCAAGCCACAGTTTGAACCAAAGCACTTAATTGTGTAAACCTCTTGTACCTTGTTGTCGGGAGCAGCCCTGCTTATACACTGAAGGCCTAAAATCAGCCATAGGCCTAAAATCAGCCATAGGCCTGACATACATGCCTGTTAGCACCAAGTCTTGGGTCTCTGTGGGAAAACACTGAATCAGATAGCTGGGAGTTATTGTAAACAGACAGCTTTGGTGGAAGGCTGCCAAGCCTGGCTACTCATAGGCCTTGTAAGATAGGTAACCTTGGTGGATAGTACCAACTTAGACAGAGACAAGTGAATCATAGGCAGAGTCATAGTGATCTGTCCCCTGAACCTTCACCCAGCTGACACTCTGTTCTGGAAGATATCTGTATTCCCCCTGAACACCCACACTCCTAT